TTCTCTTTATCATAAAATATGGTGGTATATTGGTAAAGGTCTCATTTTAATATAATCTGTCTCATAATTGGTGGGCGATATAAAATATACTCCATGAACAGTACTTTTAGCTGTAATTTAACAGCCAAAATTGTGTTATTTTATGAATGGTTGGAATTGTTTTTGGCATCATGACTAAAGCAAAAAGAAAAGGAGGACTTGTGGCACCTTAGAGATGAACAAATTTATTTGAGCATAAGCTTTCGTGAGCTACAGCTCACTTCATCGGATGCACACCAGTACTTCTTTTTCTTTTGTGAATACAGACTAACATGGCTGCTACTCTGAAACATGACTAAAGCACAAGTTTTAGGTTCTGATACCAAGCTATCTGCTTTAAAATGGCTGTGATCGTCAGTAACAATTTTAAAGAAAATTATCTAAAGGAATCTAAGAAAGAGCCCTCTTTCATAGGAGTTAGGAATACACACAGAGTAACCACAAACCACTGTCTGAATTGTTTCTTAATGAAAGTAGATGTTAGCCATGGAGTTAAACAAAGGGCCTACTTGACTCAATGTGTTGAAGTGCAGAAAAACAATCTAATGCCATTTGACATATCTTTTAAAATGAGCAGAGTGCAATAAGCCTCCATCTATCTTATCCTAACCATATCCAGGGGAATTACCTTCTCCAAAGAAATAAAGAAAACATTCGCAAAAAGAAAAGGAGGACTTGTGGCACCTTAGAGACTAACCAATTTATTTGAGCATGAGCTTTCGTGAGCTACAGCTCACTACATCCGATGAAGTGAGCTGTAGCTCACGAAAGCTCATGCTCAAATAAATTGGTTAGTCTCTAAGGTGCCACAAGTCCTCCTTTTCTTTTTGCGAATACAGACTAACACGGCTGTTCCTCTAAAAGAAAACATTATATTTCAATTACATAGACAGTCATTACAATCAAACCTTTATTAACTTTCTTACCTCACTAAAAGCTCACAAGAGTGCTCAGGATAGTAAAATGTCATCAAAGCATATCCCAAGAAAAACTGCCCCTTATGCAGAAAGACAAAGCTAGATGACCTGAACCTATGGCACGATGTTCAGTCATAGATTGGAACCATTATTCCTAATTATTAGGAGTTAAATCCAGAAGTACCTTCTCAAGCAGAACTCCCATGGGATTTCAGAGGGAGTTCTTAAGCATGAAACAAACTGCAGGATTTGACCTCAGATTTGCTATCTTTATTGGTTATGTCTATTTTTGCAAGTGAATGTTATTGGTAAAAGGTACTGGATAATTAACCCTGGAAACTAAAGTCCTCAGTTTAGTAACACATATGGCATAGGCAGTAGTAAGATAAGCTTCCACACAGGACCATGCCAGTGATCAAATTCTGCATTCCGATGTGCATTTTTAACTCCCGCTAACATCAATGGGAACAGTGGGAAGAGATCCCAGGGCAGAATATCACCCAGCATGCCTCAGTTTTGACCTAGAGCGACCTCAACTAAGGTCAAGACAGAGTTTGTTCTTCACGTGAATTTAGTTATTGACCTTTGCTAAAACTGCTAACCAGCGTGTAAAAAGCAAGTGTTGCGGGACTGAGGAATCGGTCAACGCTACACTCAGCTGATGCGGCAACTCATGGTGTCGGACGCCATCAGATGGTCGAGGGACATCTACATAGAACACCTCACTGGACATCGGCAATACCAGGAGGGATGAGCTGGAGTGCCAATGAGAAGCGCAGTAAGGAAAGTAACTGAAATACTTCTCTGATGGATTGTAATGGAGAACCTACGCTAATTCTCAATTACTGAGGAACAATCTTCACTCACTGATATATTTTGCTTTCCACAACAAACTCTCTGTACTTTTCATGAGTGATGTACTCAAATACTTGGATGCTAGTATCTAAACTGTATTCTTAAATTTATTCACCCAAATTTGGGTTATTGCTGATTATGTACTATATGTACCATATGACTTTTAAAAACAAACTTTGTATTTGTGGCTAATCCAAGCACTATACCCAGATGTACAGACACTCTTTTCGCAACCTAAGTATTATATAATTTTAACATTAGCTCAGGGTAGTTTCTGGAATGTGGACAATTTTAGGTACTGGACTGACCCTATCCATTCATTTTATATAGGCCATTCAAGAGTCTTCATCTACCGCAACATTTTTTAAATGTTGATAGCGGTGTGGACTTTGAACTATAATTCTGGGTTTATATAGTAGCCTGTTCTACAAAGTATGTAAGTAACAAAGCATAAAAAAAGGGAACATTTTAATCATCAGAACTAGAGACAAATGGTAGCACAGACATTGGTTTGCAATGTTCTTTGCTTGTTCTGCCATCATGTGGCCAGTAGAAGAATACGTATATGATGAGATATTTGCCCTTTGAATGCAGCTATATCTTAGCTCCTGGAAGGAACATATTAGATTGGTATGTTGGGGCTTTTGATAGCCAGTGATTTTTGAAGATTTTTTTTCTGCTTTCATTAGAGTTGTGTGAAACTAGGTAACATTTTCTCAGAACTCAAAAAAAGGGAAACTTTTCAGCGTGTGTAGAAATATAACCTTAAAACCACAACAGACTATTTCTTGCCAGATCCTCAGCTGGTGCAAATAGTCATATCCCCATCCAAATTAAAATATGTTAATTTACTCCCACTCAGGTTCTGGCCTTCTGTATTTCAGCGCATGAAATGTAAAAGCTATGTTGATTTTTAATGTCCTGATGTTTTTAAATAAATCTCATAAATCTCTCATTGTTTGGATTACTAACCTGTAACTAACATGCACTGTAGGAATAGCCAGCTAGCTGCCAGCAGATTGCAAAATTCCACCTAATATTAGGTAAGAGGATGGGAGAGGGGAAAGGAGTAGGTTTTGCAAAGAGCGACTGCAGCTGGTAGACTTCCTAAGTAGCTTCTGTTGTCACTAGACACCTGAGGCTCTCGCTCTGGCTCCAGTTGAAATCCCACTGAAATACAGTCCTGTAATAATGGCTTCAAATAACATAAGTGGAAACATTTAAGCAATGTCTGACCTGTGAGATACTTTGTACAATGACTCTCACCATTAGGTCAACACAGGCTTTTTGCAAGGAAGAGGGTGAGGTGGAGAAAACCTAGGTAATTTACAAAAACAAAACAAAACATGAAAGACAAAACAGAAATTCTGCTTATAGGTTACAAAAGAGCTGGAGTACCTCTCCTGCCAATCTTGATACAAGGACCAGTGCTTTGATCATCGCAATAAGGGCTGCAGAGAACATAATATGTAGACTGCAGGCTGCACTCTGTCCAGGCTTCCCTCCTGACTGCGTCTGTCATCTCCCTTGCCCCCTCCTTACTCCATACCAGTTTCCCAGCTCCTCCCTGTAGCAGTGCAGATGCACCGCTGTGGCGCCTCCTGCTGGTTGTGCTGGGAATTAGCTCTTTTGGGCCACCAGGGCACCTTGCTTGCCATTACTTCCACTCTCTCCACCATCTGGACCTGCATCGCTCTCAGACTGCGGCGCCCTCTTCGGGACACAGCCCACCAGCTCTGTGCCCCAGCCCACCATCTCCCTCTTTTCAGGGTAAAGGCAGGCCTCAGTCCTTCCACTTGCCTCAGCGGTCAACTGCAGTCTCTGATCTAGCCCCTGGCTTCAGGGGAAAACTGCAGTCTGGATTTAGGCCACTCTCCTCATTAGCAAGCTTGGGTAAAGCGGGGAGGGGGAGACCCAGACCCACCCACTACTCTGGGTCCCACCTCAGGGACCCTATAACTGCCAACCACTTACTGCCCCTCCTCCTATGCCTGCTGCCTACTTCCCCTGGGCCACTTCCCCCATAGTCCTAGCACCTTCCCTGCCTTTGCTTCATGGCCTGTCTGGCCATCGTCAGCCAAGAGCTCCCCTATTGCTCCGCTACCCTGCCCAGCTCTGCAGCATCTCCAGTACTCCTCAGCAGACATTCCTTCCCCCTTGCCCTCCAGGGAGAGATTACCTTCGCTCTGCTGAGCAGCCCTTTATATATGGGCTGCTCCAGCAAGCCTTCTCTTGATTGGCTCTCCCAATGAGCCCTTTCCTGATTGGCTGGGTTCTGTGCAGTCTCTCCGAGGCTGCCTTAACCCTTCTCCTGCCCGTGTGGGGCAGCTGCCCCACCACACTCCCTTATATGCGGGGAGTAAAACCTTACTCTGCAAGTAGCCCCACTGATTTCAAGAAGGGGGCCTGCTTTTCCCTGTTTCACAGACGGCAGCCTAAACAATCAGGTCAGACCATTTGTGTTTGCAGGTAAAATCCAGTACAAACACTTCCCATTCTTCCTAATCCATAACAGATGTGGTTGACTTTGAAATCCAACCTACAACCCATTAAATGCCAACCACAAAGTATAGGGAACATGTACCAGATCCCTCCAGCAAATGCTGAGATGTTCTGGCTCTAGGCTCTAACATTCCATTCAGGTGAATGGACCCTGCTACAGGAAACTCTTGTCAAACTGCACACGAATTCCAGATGCAGCAAAAGCTCCTTTAGCGGTAGCCTGCTTTCAGGGAACACACCCCATGCTGCTACCTCATAGCCTCTCCCCCAGCCATTCCACGTCACAGAAGGGGAAAGCTGGTATTTGTTGACATGGTCATCGTCATCTTACCCACAAAAGCGTGGTTACCACCCCCCCCCTTTTCCCCTGCACCCCTTCCTGCACCCACATGGAGCTGGATGCGTGGAGCAGCTGCTCGCTCCCCCCTTGAACGCTAGGGGGCTGTGAGGGGGGAGCGAGGAGCGAAATCAGGACTCCCTGCATTCAGGTCACTTCCCGACCTGGGCTGCGTAAGGGGAGGGCAGGAGAACAGCAGCTCCTGATGCTCACCTCACAGCACAACCCAGGTGGGGAAAGTGACCTGGATGCACGGAGCGCATGGTGTTGCTCCTCGCTTCCCCCTCACAGCCCCCTAGGGGAGCACAGAGGAATGTGGGGGTGGGGGGGAGCAGTATCTGTATGTCATCGCTGACCCCCCTCATGTTCCTCCACTGTGAGGGAGGAGCAGGGAGAAATCTGGGCACCCCCCACACGACGCTCCCCAGCCAGCCGGGAGCAGTTTCTAATTCTACGCCGGCAATGCTCACCTCTGCGCTGCTGCATGACGCCCCCTTGACCATGGCACCTCTGGGCGGTTGCCCGGGAGGCCCACCCCTAAGGCCAGCCCTGGAAGAGCAAACTGTGCCACAGAACACCTATCCCTCCCACCCTCTCCCACACTACAGAATAACTTGCACAAGGAAAGGAGAGGAGATGTGCTCTGTGGGTGAGATCCTCAGCTGGGGTGAATCAGCAAGTTTGGGCACCTGGTTCAGGGCAACAGGGTCAGCAGCAGGGGAGCTCGGAGAGCCTTGGAACAAGAGGGTTTCTGAGGCCTGGGACAGTGTATTTCATAGGGCCCAGGCATAATAGGGTAGGCTGAGACAAGGAAGTGGTTCAGGAATTGGGATGGAGAGAGGGACTATCCGTATAATAATCAGGCTTTCAAGCAATAGCTCCCACAAGATGAATGTGGAAAGGAGAACTGCTCCTCATCCTTCCCTCGCCCAACACATATGTGATCAACTAATCCACATTGCTCAAATTTCAGATAGGGAATCCTGAATAATTGCAACAGAGCAAGAATTCACTACAAATGCAAAAAAATGGTGGGCACAATTTGCTAATAGTTAAATGTCTAGCCACCTACCCTGTGTGGCCAATCTAATAGCTAGACATTTAGGGGGACGTTTTCAAAGGCATAAAGGCCAGCAGTTAGACACCCAACTCATTGGGAGTTGTTGCTTTTGGCACTGAAGATCAGCCCCTTAATTTCTAGCACTTGCACTCTCTATTAATTACATCCCTAACACTGAAGGCAGTTTTTAAAACAAGTCCCATCTCTTGGGGAAGGGCCTCTTGAAAACCATTTGACAGCAGGTCCTTTGCTAATTTGGGATTTGTTTGGATGGAGGTCCACAGATGAGCAATGGAACATTCATGGGTTTTTTCCATGTCATTAAGAAAACTTTGTCTCTTATTCAGTGATTTTATTCTTCTTGCATGACTTTAAATAACAGCTACAACTGATCAGTCTCATTGTTAACCTCTTATCCCAGTCTAATATTTGAAGTACTCTTGGAAACTGACATTGGACGGTCAGTTTGTACAGCCCACCTGTTCACTGTGGAAAGAGCTTGGTTCATTAGGTCCTGTAGTCCTTACTATGATTGGGGAAAGACTGGAGTAAGTTCACTTCCAAAGGAGATCTCCATATTTTAAAGATTGAAGATATTGATGGGATGCAATTCTTTGTGTGGGCTTCCATTCACACATAGCTCAGAAAATACTCAGTTGTGTACTTTTTTTTCCTATTTAAATTTTTCATTAAAAGAGACAGTGCATCAGAGGGATACACATGGAATATCATTAACGTCTGGTAAAAGGTAGATCGTCTGTCACATTGCTGTGAATGGGACAAAAATGGTGCTCCCAGAATCACCGCTTCCTTCTCCATCTTCGTATTTGTATTCGGGATTGCCCATGGACCCTCTGGAAGAACTTCTGGAAGACCCATAAAAGAGATCGTGTTGTTCCATAGAAAAAAGGCTTCCTGACTTTGAGAGGGTAGAAAGAAAGCTTTCTGGAGTATGGCTCCTTGCTGCTGAGAAAACAGCGCCAGGGTCAGTGTATGCAAAACTGATAGCAGATTCATTGGAGGCTGGTCGTAATGGTAGCACATCGCCAGGCTGTTTATAAATCGGTGATGTTTGTATGAGAGAGGTTCCTTGGGAGCTCCTCTGTTGGGAGGCAGCTAATTGCATAGCCTGGGAAGGAGACAGGACAATCCTTGTTTCAATGTGATGCAAGTGAGACTTGATGGCAATAGATTTCACTTCTTTCTTCAAAGTCCTACAAAAAAAATAGACCTATTTGATTTCAAGCTGAACCCCCTTCCCACCCCCCGCCCCCCCCACCACCACTTCATTGACCTTGAGAGACCAAGAGAGTATGCCAGACAGGAATCAAACAGGAAGAGTCATCTCATCCTAGCAACAACAGTTTATCTTTACTAATGAGGGAAGCTGCATAAAGAACTGGGAGAATGTGGGCAGAGCCAGGCAGGAGTGGAGCTATAAACTTTGAGTAAACCTTCAATAATTTAAGCTCTCACGCCTTTCCCCTCCCCATGCATACACCGTCTGGGCTCAGACACAGCTCCTAAAGAGGTCATTCTGGCCCTCCACACTGTCCCCAGACAGAAAGTGGCCAAGAGAGGATGACGGGTCCCAAAATCTTTGGGCACAAACTGCCTTCTGCATCACTAACCTGATCCAGGCTAGGGGAAACCTTGCCTGACTTGCCAAGGAAGAGGATGCCCACCTAATCTGGGGGCCATTCAAATTACTCGCAGACTCCCCAGTGATGCTATTGACAGCTACGTCAGCATTTTCAAACTTGGGTGTCCATTTTCAAATGTGGGGGATCATATTAACACCCACATAGGTTACTGGCAAGGTTGGAACCTGTGTGGAACACCGCACAGACCTGCCACTTGAGCTAATGAAGCAATTGATAGCAGTAGTAGGTTGTGCTCTATGTGGACCAGCACTAGCGGGAGAGGAGAGAAACACTTTGCCAGCAGGTTTCACAGCTATTTGCTGACAGTAGAGGAATGGCAGGACTCCAGAATCTCGGGTTCCAATCCAAGCTCTGGAAAGGACAGTGCTCTTGTGACTCTTCTGACCCATCCCCTACAACCTGTCCCCATCCTGTCTCCTTCCCACAGCTGGTTCCTTGTCCCAGTTCTATTCTCCATGCCTACCCAGTCTCAATCTCCGCTTCTCAGGCTTCTCAGCCCAGTCCCTTTAACCAGTCTCCGTCTCCAGGCTCACTGTCCAAGTTCCAGTCTCACCCATTCCCCACATCCAGTCCCAGTCTCCTTGCCAGCCAGTCCCAGTTCCCCATCTGCCTGCCCTGACTCCTTGTTCCCAATCTCCTTGCACTGCTAGTCCCAGTCTCCCTCCCTGCTCCTCATCTGATATGTTTCTCCTGCCCCCCACTAGTTCCCAGTCCTATTCTCCCTCCCCAAGCTCTTTAGCCAATCACAGTCTCTTCCTACTCCCTCTCCAGCTTCTGGCTCCAGGCTCTTCCACCTATGGCTCCTTGTTCCTGTCTTTTTGTCCAGCCAGTCCCAGTTTACCCGTCCCCCAGCTCCTCATCTGATATCAGTTGTCCCCCAGAGCCAACCGGCAACCAGTCCTCTCCCACTTTCCTCCCACTTCCAGTCCCAGTCTCCTCGCCTAGCCCAGTCCCAGTCTCTCTCTCCACCTCCAGTCCGACACTCCTTGTCCCAATCTACTCCTTTCCCTCCCTCTCCTCCAGCTTTTGTCTCTGCTGCATTTGAATCAGACAACTTCCCAGCCCTACTCCAGCCCAAAGCAGCCATAAGAAAAGTCTTCGCCCCTGTAACCCTGAGGGAACATGTTCAATTGCTGTGTGGGGATGGCCCAGGACGAGGCTTGAGCATGCTCAGCAGAGAAGGAATCTTCAGAGATGTAACTGCTCAAATCAAGACTCTCTAAAGAGCATGTTGCAATCTGCAATTTCTCACAGCCTTATAACTTGCCCATATTTGGGTAGCTTTTCACGAGGACGGCAAAAGGCATGTCTCTGACACAGAGAGCCAAATGTCAGATCTCTGCTTCAAAGCATGGGGGCACTAGAGCTATTCAAAGAAAAGCTCATCTGATTCTTTTTTTTTAGCCTGGGCAAACAACATATTTTTCACAAGCCTCCTTCTCAGAAAAGGCTGCACTGGTCTCAGAAAAATCTAGTCCAAGGCAGACACCCATCGTGTCACACTTCAGCCTGAATGGGTAAAGTTTAGTAACGTTATAAACAACTGAAAACAGGGTCTTATAATGGGAAGTGTCATTCAACCTTAATAATAAGCAGTGCTACTAACCTTTTCTATAATTTAATACACACGCACAGATTGGCTCATTGACTCCTTTGAGCATGGTGAAGCCATAAAACATGTTAAAAGTATGCTCAGTGATAGGGTGAGGGCCTCAGTGAGACCTGGAAGCACCATGCTGAAAAGCACCAGAAAAAGAACCCCCTAATTAATTACATCCAGTGCTGTAAACAGATCCACGAGCAGGGTCCGTCCGAACCCTGCCCGAAGGACCCAGGTTCCCAAGACAGAAAGCATGCGCCATGCAGTGGAGTGGAGGTTACAGAATGTTGTAAAACTTACGTGTTGTCTTTTGTCACCAGTTTGTAATGAAGGAAACTGCAGCCCAGAATGAGGAGGAGGGAGATTATCAAGAAAACACTCATTGCAGCGATTATTAGGTCTTGCTTAAGCTTCTGACTCTCCTGGGATTCTTTTCCTAGAACATTTTTTTCAAGAAAGCATGAGCTAAAACAAGGTAAATGTACCGTTGTCTCCACTGATGTGGCCCCCGATCAGTGGCCTGCCTGACTGTATGGGAACAAATCCAGTGTCATGGGCTTCAATGGCTGCACCCAGTGCTCCTTAAACATGAGGCGCCAAAGGGTCACACTGGCAATGAATGGCTTCCCGGGGGGTCCACCACCATAAGGACAGTGCAATGTTCGCAATGAAAGGTCCACCTGTCTGGTTCATTCAGACCCTCTCCTCTATACCCTGGCCTCTCTAGTGCGGGTCTCCTGTCTCTCTAACCTCCCCTCCTAGCAGGGGAGACCGAGAGGGTTTCACCTCCCTGCCTTTCACATTTCTCAAAGTGGGATGCTCTTTCCTGTCTTTCTCCCCCACAGGGCACGGGGAGGCATTTCTCCTTCTCCCTCCATCATCTTACCCTTTAGGGCTGATGCTGGGAGTGTGGAGGAATCCCTAGGGCTCTTTTCCCTTCCAGCTGCTTCTATCCCACTGCTGAATTTCTCCACCACACACTGCACTGCTCACTACACAGCCTGCCCATCTGATGGTCTGTGGTCTATGTTGATCTGCCGCAGCGACAGGGCGAGCCAGTGAAGCACTAATTAAATCTACAAACGTTACAGAGGAACACGCAGAGTGCTGGAGAGGCGCATGCAAAGCCCTGAAGAGCTGCGGGATGATGATTGCCCCAAACACTGGGTGAATGGCAGACATAACTGTCTGTTTAGAGGGCAAACCCAATCAGAGGGGTTGGAAGCTGTCAATTGGTGCCTGCTCGTCTAGCTTTTCATTCGGTCCTTTGTGCCTTGTATGTTGCACCCATTCTCTTTTGTGGGTGCTAAACAGTAGCGCTGGATGGAAGATGCATTGTTAATGGAAATTCAAAACCTGAAATATTTTGATTTGGAAATGTTGCTGTGGTGACTCCTGGGAGTTATAGTTCTAGTGTCTCAACCTCCTGTTCTCCTCTATAGGCCAGGCTCCCTGAACGGACTACATCTGCCGTAATGCAACCTGGTCTCCCCTTTTGGAGAGAGGCGTCCCTGGCCATGGTGCACCGAGAGAGGGGAAGCCCAGTCCATAGAGGAGAATGGAAGCATGAGGCAGGTGTAAAAATTTTATTAAGATGATGATTAAAAACATTTGAACGGCACAGACTTCAAGCGTAGAAGTTTCTGGTTATCAGGGAATAACGTACAGATTATCAAGGGGTGCAAAGTTTGGTTTAAAATCGGATGGCATAGGGAATACATAATCTGCAATATCCCCAACTGGGGGTACAAGGATAACGGGTCAAAGTACAGACATTGAGATATGAGGGTATGTTGTTCATATGATGGCTATGTTCAGGGGTGGAGTATACTGAGTGGATACGACTACAACTCCCATAAGACACTGCAACAGCATTTCCAAATTGGAAATTTTTATTTTTTTTCTGGCCAAAATATTTCAATACTGGGCATTCTTTTGTTGTTTAGCTGACAGACAAATTAGTCGAAAACCCAATTTAATGTCAAAAAACAGTTTTGATGGAAACTTTTCAGCCAGCACTATGGTGCCCTTCAAGGACACACCGGCTCCTTCATTCTCCCCAGATACAAACAGGCCACTAAGCCATTGCTGAAGCTTCATGTCTTATAGGCCTGACAGTCTCTTCTGGTTCAATCTTTTTCTTCTAAAGTAATTTTGAGTTTCTGCAAGACCCAAGGTAAGATGATAATTGAGGATCACCCATAAATTTAGGAAGCTGTGGAGTAATCTATTCTGCAGTCAGCAGCCAGACATCTCCCAGGACAGACAGTGGCAGATATAAAACACGAGTGAGATACCACCAAATGTTTGAGACTCCCTGGAGTTCAGGGAGAGGATAGTTGTAGTGTGAAGAAAGGAAATTGTGAACGAGAAGGATGAGTAGGTGGGACGAAGAATAATAGAAGGTGCAAAGAGAGAATAATTTTTATAAATCCAGAAAAGTTTTCATCTTCTGTGAGCCTTATTCAAGGGACCATTTGAGATTCACTCACCCCTGGACGGAACCGGTCCTAAAACATTTTAAAGACACAGTTTTAAACATCAAGTACCTGGATGTCAAATGGACTGAGGTTCTGAGAATCTTCGAATATTATCATGACTCCAGTGGGATGAAATGTACAACCTTAGTTTAAATGTCACATGTGCTCTAAATTCATAATTCTGTTGCCATTACTTTTGCCCCTTGCTGAGTTTAGCCACCTAATTGCCAGCTTTCAACCTGGCCTAGAACATTTTGCTCTGTCTTTATCATATCGTTACGGACAGTGACATCAAACGATGTCTCATCTTTAAAAAAGGGGTTAGCAGACTCTGCTCTAAAGACGATGCTGTGTCTGCCTGACCTCAGCCTGTGGTTATAAGGTTCACTGAGCACTGTACCTTCCGAAGGAGTTTGTCTTTTGTTGGCTGTTCCGCAACCAGAAATTAAGATGGAGAGCAGGAGAAAGAT